GTCCGTCGGGGTCGCTCCATTGGGGTCCGTGGGGCAGCCCCCCAGCTCGGACTGTTTACCCAGAGCACGTTGTAGCCCCAGGGCCGACGCTGCGACCCCTGTTCCCGTGGCCGGTGCCGGGGGCTCTGCCCGCGGGGGGGACCTCGGTCCGGTGGAGTCCCGTCGGGCTGGGATGTGGATTGACCCGTCGGCGCGGGGCAAGGGACAGGGGTGTGGGGCAGGGGCGGTGCCCTCTGCTGGGGGGCACAGAAGCGGGGCTGGGCGCCGGTGGCCAGTCTGGAGCTGAGCTGGCCCAGGGAGTAGGAGAGAAACCTCCCCCTGCCCCCCACCCGCCGGCTTCCCACGCACCAGAGTGGGGCAGATTCACACGGCTCCCAGCACCACCTGGAGCCCCGAGTCCTCGCCAAAGTCCGGATGCGGTGGGAGCGCATGGACTCGGGCAGCTGGATTCGCTAGATGTGGGCTGGGAGGGGAGTGGGGCCTAGTGGTTAGAGCAGGGGGGGCTGGGAGCCAGGACTCCAGATACCGGCCTCCCCTGCCCGCACCCCCCAGGACTCGGCGCGTCCCCTCCTCCACCTCCCCCCAGTCCTCCTCTTCCCGCCACCGACCCCACCGCCCGGCTGCTCCGAAGGCCCAAACCGCTCTCCTGCCTCTCAGCGGCAAAACTGCTCCTGCCGCAGAAGCGAGAACATTGGCACTAAACCGGAGGAAAAGCCCAGGCAGGAGCAGAGCTGCGGGTGAAGGGGGGGATGGGGTGGGGGGTGTATTTTTGGGGTGGGGCAGGCAGGGAGGGTAGGAATCGCTCGCCCAGGGACCCATCTCCCCTGGTATCCCGGCTGCGTCCACCCAGAGCCCGGCCCGTGTGGCGGATCGAGGCGGTCGGCAGGCCGGGGGGGTGGGGGGTGGGATCTCGGCAGGGTTGAATCGAAGGTTCGGTTTGCAGGGGGTGTCAAGGGACCCCTGGGAAATGTGTGTCGGCCGCCGGAGATCGGCACTGCTCCGCTGGCGGGCCCGGCTCTGCGCCGTGTCGCCCCAGCTGCGGCTCTGGCTCACAGACTTACTACCGAGAGCAGCGTCCTTCCCCCAGGGCCTGGCAAGCGGCCGGTCTCATGTTGGCTGCGCTGGGGAAGGACGGGGGACACTGTTGCAACTCATGGTCCGATCTGCACCTGGGCCCCGGCGTCCGGACACAGCTCGGCTCGGCTCGGCCGCTTTGCCTGATTTCAGGGTCACCGCGTTTAGCTAACGGATGCCCCAGCGGCTCTTTGATTTGCCCAGACGGGGGTTCCCCGGACGACTGCGCCAAACGTCTCTTCCTCTCCTGGAGCAGCTGGACTTTGTCCAGGCCCCCGGGGTCTCGGGGAGGGGAGTGGGGTCTAGTGGTTAGTGCGGGAGGCTGGGCGCCAGGACTCCTGGGTCCCTTGGCCAGCTCTGCGAGGCCTTCCCCTTGTGCGTCACAGGGACAACGCGCCAGCCCGGGGGTCTCCTCATTCTGCGCCCCTACAGATTTATGCTTATCCCTTTCTCCCCCCCACCAGGTGACCTGGGAGCCGAAGACCCCGTCGGACCCGCTGCCGGAGCAGGGATCTCCCCCCGCCTCATGGAGAACATCCACGAACTACAGCACCCGCTGCTGGCCAAGTCCTCCGGGGGCGCCCCGGCGGGGGACACGCGGCGGGAACACCCCGGCTTCTTCGCTCGGCCCGGCTGGAGGCGCCTGCCCCCGCCGCCCCCCGAGCCGGCCCAGCAAGTGCTGGACGCCGGGACCCTGCAGAGGACAGTGGAGCCGCTGGGCAGCCCCGAGCCGGCCCCCCACCCGGGCCCCACATGGAAGGCCGGGGAGCCCCCCAGCTGGAGGAAGCAGGGTTACTGCGAGACGGCTTTTGGGGAGCCGGCCGAGCGCCCCAAGAAGCTCTGCCTGGAGAAGGACATTCACACGGTCTGCTGCGAAGTGGGCGACGGGGAGCTGCTGCCTGAGTTCGAGGTGAGGGGGGGCTGCGAACCCAGGCATCCGGCCGAGCCCTGCCAGCAGCTGGAGGGCACCGGCTGGGGATGACCCAGCCCCCAGCGGGTGCTTTGGGGTTCCCCGCTCGCTGGGTCTGGGGGCCCCCCGGCTCTGAGACCCAGGCCCCGGGGCAGTACCAGGCTTACAATGGTACGAGGGGGGCCCTGCCTGGCTCCCCGGAGCTACGCCGCCTGGGACTGGTGCAGAAGTCAGTTGCAGGGGGACAGTGTGGGGGGCTTGGCTGGGCCCCCCCCAGGCAGGTGGGTCCTGAGAAGGCCTGGGCGGGGCAGCCCCTGGCCTGGCTGATCCCACCACTGCCGAGGGGCCGGAGCGATTCCCAGCCCTGGGACCGACCCTGGCTGCGCTGCCGGCTCAGCCCGGCAGAGACAGTCGCCTCCCAGCCGGGCCGGAGAGTGCGGCCGGGAGGCAGGGCCTGGGGGAGCGGGTCTTGGGGGGTGCTGGGGGGAAAGCTGGGCGGTGGGGGGGAGGATTTGTGTGTGTTGGGGTTCAGGGTCTGCAGAGCTCTGCTCCTCTGATGCAGCTCTGTGGCTGGGAGCCAGGACTCCTGGGTTCTATCCCCGCTCTGGGAGGGGAGTGGGGGCTAGTGGTTAGAGCAGGGGGGATGGGAGCCAGGACTCCTGGGTTCTCTCCCTGGCTCTGGGAGGGGAGTGGGGTCTAGTGGTTAGAGCAGGGGGGGCTGGGAGCCAGGACTCCTGGGTTCTCGCCCTGCTCTGGGAGGGGAGGGGAGGGGGGGCTAGTGGTTAGAGCAGGGGGGGCTGGGAGCCAGGACTCCTGGGGTTAACAGTGGCCGCCAGGGTAGCGCACTCCCCCCAGCCCCCTGATCTGGATTAACACCCCCCCCCCGCCCAGAACGACTCGTCGAGCGACAGCGACAGCGACTTCGGCCTGATGCTGCCGCAGGATCACCTGGGCCTGGCTGTGTTCTCCATGCTCTGCTGCTTCTGGCCTCTGGGCATCGCCGCCTTCCACCTCTCCCAGAAGGTGAGCGGGGCGGGGGCGGGGCGGGGGCAGCCCACCCGGGACACCAATTTCCTGGGCCTCAGCCTAGGCCCCCCCCCCCCCCCCGCCCACTGCTGCAATAAAATCTGGACGATTTGCATACATTATGGGAGATATTTGCATAACTTCCCCTGCCCCCCCAAAACTGGTCCAGTCCCTCAGGGGGCCCCAACCCCCCAGGGGGCCCTGTCACAGTCCCCACCCCCAGCTTAGGGGGGTCGGGGCAGAAGGGGCACTGGCTGGGGCAGAAGTTGGCATGTAGGGCCCATGGGGGGAGAGAATCTGGCCTGGGAATGGGGGGGGTCTCGGGGTATCCAGCTGGGCAGGGGGCAGATGTAATGCATAGGGGAGGTGGGGGGTCCCCCATCCATGGGGGTATCTGT